GTGTGATGTGGGCTTTCTTCAGCTCATTGAAGATCACTCTCGCTGCTGAATTCTGGATCACAAATGTCCATTCATTTGAGATAAGCAGACCAGTACCTCCATCCCTCCCAATCGGGCAAGGGTGTGGGAAAAAGTGAAATTAGTGAAGACGACTGCAGGATTGGCAGTGTCCTCAGGTTTAATCCAGGTCTCATTTAGGGTCATGAGGTTGAGACTTGAATGAGTAGCAATAGATGAAATAAAGTCTGCTTTGTTTACAGCAGACTGACAGTTCCAGACACTAATTGGAATAGAGAGTAAAGTAGTAGAGGACATAAGGACAGTACGCAGATTGTTAGGATTGCACTGCCTCCAACGAACTGAGCGTGATTTACGAGTGTTAGTAGTAATAGTAGAGATTTGAAAGCACTTAGTGAGTACAATTGACTAAAACAAGCAGATGAGAACCTTACTACTTAGCAAGCGGAAACTGAAAAACCACGCAATACGCACAAGAACAAACAACTTCAGCACACATTTACCATGGTAAACACAGTAAGCAAAACAATGTTTCCTAGCAATGACAACCACGCTAAACATGCTAACTGCTTCTTCTATCAAGTACTTGCAAACATGGTTAATAGGTACTTTACCTGGCTTTGGCCACTCCTTACTACTTAGCAAACCAAAACTGAAAAACCACGTTATACGCACAAGAACAAACGCGACTTCAGCACGCAGTTACCATGATAGACACAGTAAACAAAACAATGTTCCCCTTCAAGAGAACTCGCACTGCATCCTCTAGTGGACACTATGGGGAATGCCATCACATAACTGTGCTCTGTATCTGAAGCACATGTGAAAATACTCCAATCCATTGAACCGCGACATTGCATGAGCGCGTTTGCCTCTCATGGGATTTGAAGAAGCTCATAGCGATGCATTCGCAACAGTGGATTCTGTTCTCGAGGGATTCTAGCATTGTACGGAATGCATGCTGAATGCCGAATGCATCCTTTGTGATGCGAATGCGGTGAGATTGACAGCCTACTGTCCACGGTTCGAGACCCGCTGTTGCCAAGATAGTTAGCCAGATTGTTTGCATGGTTTGTAGGCGGAGCATGGAAGTGACCTGACCGGAAATGTTTTGCCTTTACAGGAATTCCATGTTGTTTCTATTCTTTATACGAAATAGAAACTATGTAATATGAGAGAGTGAATGCGACTGGTGTGATGCATTCGCCAGACTGACTGAAAGTGACAGATAAGGAGCTTTTCTTTTCTGTTCTCTCCCGAGGGATAGTAGCCAGCGTTTGCATGAGCACATAAGGCTCTTGGAAGGATTATAGTGACGCTCGAACTTAGCATGCTTAATGCGTGTTGTGTTCCTTGCTCTCTTCTTAGCAGCTTCTCAGGTCGGGTTGCCTCCAGTGTATTTACGGTGACCCACCTGAAACATCAAAGTTGGTAGCTGTCTGAGGACAGTTTCCCTTTAACTAGCTGCTCTTTGGCTTAAGTGGACCGAGATGTCCCTCACTTAGTATGTGGATATTGAAGTAGAGTTCCTTGCTCCCTCTGTTTGGTCTGCATGTATGGGTTTGGGTTTGGGCTGCTCTTTGCCTTGGGCTGTTTCCCTTGTAATTTGAGGTGTTGAAGTAGATGGTACATGACTATAGGTTGAGTCTCTTTTTAGGCTCCCTATTTGGAAAGCATTTTTGTCAAAGATTTACCGGTTGAGGCTGGTTTCCTTTGATAAGATCTCCCCCCTGAGTGTGAGCTCTTTCCCTACCTAATATTTCTGTTAGCATGGTCGGGCTGCCTCCCCGCTTCTAGAGCTTTAAGTAGGTGGTCCCCCTGATGTTCTTTTTTTATATGTTAGGCTGCCTCCCCTGATTTCAGGGTATTTCCAAGTAGGTGGTCCCCCGCAATCCCACATGCATTGGACTGTCTCCCTTACATTTGGGTTTCAAGTAGATGGCCCATTGCCTCCATTGCCTGTTTGAGGACAGTTGTGTTCCCAACTTGGTTGAATGGAATGTCCCTCCTTAAAATATTAGTTTTGGTTGGGTTCCCCGTTTTCCCCAAGTTATTTTAGCTGTCCAGGTGTCTTGGTGTGCCCCCCTTTTTTAATCAGTGTATGTTTGTCACTATTTTTGGTGCTCTCTCTCCAGGTGGACAGGCAATGCACTGAGGCATGGCATAGTGGGGATTTCATTCCTCATTGTGTCCACTAGAGGACGCAGTGCGAGTTCCCTTGAATGGGAATGTCTCGGGTTACACATGTTACCATGGTTCTCTGAGAGGGAACGAGACACTGTGTCCCCTTGCCATGACTAGTTCCTGCCTGTTTCACGTCTCCTTCAGACAAAGAAGTTGATGATGTGAATTACAGCTGCCCTCTTATACTTCCAGGCATGCCGCTAATGACATCACGGGCTGAGTGGTCCAATGGATTGGAGTGTTTTCACACGTGCTTCAGACACCGGTCATGCTGATGGCATTCCCCATAGTGTCCAATAGAGGACGCAGTGTCTCATTCCCTCTTGGGGAACCATAGTTACATGCGTAGCTTGAGATGTTTCCTAGCAATGATTATGCTTTTTTTGTCATCAGAAATGTTCGTGGTGCTCCGCGTACAACAGCGCATGCGTGAGGTGAATGTTGAGACAGAACAAGTCAAGTAGGTGAAATTGTGCATGTGTCGAGCTCATCCGTCCGCGCTCATCCACGGTTGAGTTTACTTCGAAAGCTGTGCAGACGTGGGGGAATCACGATGCCGACTCAACATCGTATGGACAATGGCATCGTCTATCGGCCCAACCCTAGCTGCCAGTTACACACAAACACAAAACACTGAATAGGCATAATTTGTCTTGTTTGGAATGCAATAAAAATGCAATACATGAAACTCACTTATTGACAGATAGCTGTTTTCAAACGCTTATGTGTGCTTTGTGTGTGTTTGTTTTTATGCATGCTCGCGACTGTGCATAACTGTGTAAGTAGATAAATGCACTTGCATCTTTAAAATGCGTTTATGATGTGAAATTCATGTAAACACAGTCAGTTATTTCTCAAGGACAGGAAAAAAACATCTGAATCTGAACGGATTGTGAGCTGCCTAAAGATTCCCACACCTACAGGTTTTCACTGTATATACTGTAAACAGGGAACTAACAGGTAGCATGTTTACATTGTTTACTGTTAAAATCACTATAATTTTTTACTGTGTGGATCTAACTTTAACTTTTCACTTCAAATAGAAACAGTATTTTTTTACCATACAAATCTAAATAAATAACAGCACACCACCAACCTGACATATTTTTAATGAATGTCTAGGCTACAAACACTTCTTCTTCCTTAAACAGTATTAACATATCTTAAATTCATTAAACTTTAAAGAAGTAAAAAGTCTTAAATATCTTAAATAGCATTAAAAAAATAATTTAACCATTTGAAGAGGTCTTAAATTTGAGGATGGAAAGACAGACGACAATTAAGCTAGATTTACTCTGCCGAGTTGACGGGACTCTGAGTGAAGTATGTGTGAGTATAATGGAGTGAATCAACATAAATTTCCCCTCCTCGCTCAAAGCATTCTGTAATCAGTCCACTCCAACTCCACTCCCTGTTTTCAAGTTCCAAGGCCTCGTCCAATGTGTGTCACAGCCTGTCTTAGTGATGAAAAACAATCTGTGATACATGATGCATTTTGAGATTGTTTGGGTTTATTCTGGTATTAAATGGTATTCGTTTTATTTCCTTAGGTTTTATAATCATTGAATTTGATTGTGAAAATCCTGCTTAACTCATTCCTGTGCTTTCTGATGTAGATGTCATTTGGTGTCAGCTTTCACTTCTTGTGATGTGCAGACTACTTCTTGGGAACTGAAGTACTCACAAAACTTTAATCTGAAACAACTTCAGATAGAAATCTGGAGCTTACTACATAAATGATGTACACCGGCATGCGCATGACAAGCATACACGTTTTAATGCTGAAAACTCAACCCGTCATTCACTGAGAAACAGCCGGTATGATTTCTTGCCATCATGGCAAAATATTCTACTGAAGCCTGGAAGGCATTTGTAATGAGTGGTTTTATCTGACTTGTTTTCTCCCTTTGTGCAATAGCTTCTTGACATTTATGATTGACTGGGCAACATAGATTCCCGTCTGTTGCTTCCCAAATATCTTTCCAGCAAATTGGACCTTGTGAAGCATGACAAAAAGCTCATAGTTCTCGGATGTAATGCAGAACATAAAACAAAAAAAGAGACGTGTCCTGTATTTGTTTGCTGTCACATACTCAGTTACAAGATTCAGTTACAGATCTTACTGAATGATTAATGTGGCGTTCTAAAGATTTCAACATTCATTTTTAACTCCTGAAGAACTTTGAATTTTGCCACTATTTTTATTCATGACATTAGATGACTTATTAAATGTAACCATATAAGATTTATTTTGATGTTTGTTCCCATAGAGAACCTGTAGAGGATTACCTCATCAATAATGGAAGCCTTAAAAGATGAGCGATTTTCATCACTGGAGAAGACGCTGTTGATTTGAGACGATTTCTATTCCCAACTCAGCAGAGGTTCACTGAGGACAGTGTCCCCTGTTCGGTGTTAGCAATATGGTCAGAGAGATAACTCTTGGAAAAAGCTTGTTTTATCCCTCCAGCGACAGCTGTGAAAACGCAATCATTCGAGTTTGAACTTTTGAAGGAGCCTTAAGGATCTCGCACCAACAAGGCTGCATCTCTCCTTAAAATGCGATGAATTATTGAAGTGTACAACTGAGAAAAGCATCTCGACCAATCAAGGCCAGCCAAACAGGAAAATCTGTTAAATGTGAAGCCTGAAAAAAAGTCAGAATCTTTTCCTGTTCTTGAGTCGTTTGCCGAGATTGGAGAAGAGCTTCACATGCCATTACACTTGGGGGTGAAGTGAAGTTTAAAAAGGGCTGTCAGAAAGTCTTGACTAATTCTTTTTTTTTCTCTCTCCTCTAGGAATACACGATTGATGTGTTCTTCCGGCAAAGTTGGCGGGATGAGAGGCTGAAGTTTGATGGGCCTATGCAGGTCCTTCCACTTAACAACTTGCTTGCCAGTAAGATTTGGACTCCGGATACTTTCTTCCACAATGGGAAGAAGTCAGTAGCCCACAATATGACTACACCCAATAAACTTCTGCGGCTGGTAGACAACGGAACTCTTCTCTACACAATGAGGTAAGACTTCAAATCTTGGTAGTCTCTGTGAAGGCCTTGATGCATGTTGAACAACTTAATTTAGTGTTTTGCATAGTTTCTGCTTCCAGTCTACAATGCAAGCAAGCGATCTAGTTTCGTCACACCACTCAAATGCAAACTACACCACCAAATGGTGAACTTGTGCATCATACAAGTATTCTCCTATCTGGCTTCTTGAATCTATGCTTTGGGGCGATTTTGAATTAAGCTGGACAGCAGGTTGTCAAATTGAAAACAAATTCTGCCTGATTTCTCCAGCCCTTTCAGATGAGCTGGCAGAGGTAGACTAATGCCTTCTTATCGATGGCGGACTTCAGATGAACGGGACATTGTGGAGCTGGCCCAGCCTGTGACCCAAGCAGCCCAAGTGCTTGATGAATGAGTCAGGAAATTGAATTGTGACTAGCTTGGCCAAGAGCTGTCCAGAGCAATGTGTTCAGTTGCCAGAGACAGAGTAGGCCAATTCCACCAGCCATTTTGACACAGCACCTGGGCTGCTCATGCAGTCACTATGAGAGATTGGTCATCTGTATCTCTGAGCTAGGATGGGTTTTATCTTTTCAAATCTTTAACCTCATCCCGAATGTAATAAATGGCCATCAACCTACAGGAAAAGGGTGCTGCATCATCATATTGCCACTAATTTATCTGACCACCATAACCTTGAACTTTCCCATAACATAAAAAGAAAAAGCTTTCTCTTGAAAGTATGAGGGATGGAGATTCTTGAAGCACTGCAGAAATGGTTGTGAGAAACTGCTATATGCTTGAAAAGATTCCCAGATCTATACTAGATGTTGATCTGCACGCATGCAATTGATTAAAATAGAGAAGTTCTTGCTGACTCTGCTGTTTTCAGAGTTTAACAGTAACACGCCTCATGCATTAAACATACATGAATTTCACATCTACAATGTGTACATAGCTTAAAAATATTCATGAAATCCTTTTATGCTGAAGTAAGAGAGTGCACTTGCCAGGGAGCCAATAACGTAGCACAGTAACACTTGCTAATTCATCATACGCAATAGTCTGGATACATTACATTTTAACCATGCAAGATACAGTACTGTGTCAAAAACAGCACTTTCCAGTGATTTAAAGATTATTTTCTCGTCACAAGTTAATATACTGTTTTCTCTTAGCACTTTTTTGCTCACATAAGGTGTTAAATCTCAGCAAAACCGGATTTAGTCACTTATTCACCCTATCTCTGGTCTGTCATCTCAAGCATTTGAATTAAACGATACGTAAGCTTTAATCAGAACTGCAAACCTTAGCGTTTTCCAATTCATAATAGTGCTTGTTCACAGGGATTATGGCCATAATGAAGGTGGCACGTGAAATAGACCCTATGTGTTGGCACACTAGATAGGGAAGGGCGATGCTGCTCCGTTCTCTTCTAGGCCCCGTCTCATATGAATTCATTTAATATGGCTTCAGTGCTCCCCAGGCTAAGAATAACATTTGAATTTGGATGCTTTAATGAAGGCTTGTCACTCTCATTGTGTTTGCCTGCGGGGATAGCATGGTGCAGAAGAGTTGTTAGCTAGAGCTCCCAGGGACAAGAACGGTGATGTTTCTGGACCATTATGGGCAAAGACATAATTGCATTGTTGAAGTGTATGCTTTATTTGGCGATGCCTCTCATGCTTTTTTAGAATTTCACAGAGGCTAATTCCCCACCCCACCCCCCACCCCAAAAACAAAAGTCTTAAGGGATTGTAATTGTCTCTGATTATCTTTTGGAAGTGAACATATCATGTACATGTCCCAGCCAATTATTGTGGATTTTATATAGTTGCTTTTTTCTGCACTCAGTAAGTTGTTATCTCTCAAACCTTTTTTTTTTTTTTTTTGAAAAAGATTGAGAGACATTGCCATATAAACCATTCACATTTACATTAATGCATTTTTATCCAAAGCAACTTGCACTGCATTCAAGATTCATACATTCTGTCAATGCATGTGTTCCTTGGGAATCAAACCTATGACCTTGCCATTGCAACCTCCATTTGCAACTGGTTGAGCTTAGCTGCAGGAATGCCCCATTTTAGGCCTTTTGAGTCAAAAGTAAGACTCAGGTACAGGACTTCCAGCCTTTCCAATTTATCACCATGTTGTAACTAGTGTTGTCACGGTACCAAAATTTCAGTATTCGGTACCAATACCAGTGAAAATCCACGGTTCTCGGTACCACTTTCGGTACCAAAGCAAAACACAAAAACATGCTAATTGAACAACATTTTTATTAATAACGTTAAATAAATTCTGACGGACTGATATGACATAAACACTGTTAACCATACATTTGTACATTCTCTAACACGCATATTTTGGTTACACAGTTCATTTAAAAGCCTCTGGTGTGTAAAAATAGCAAATACCATTATGTCCTCCTGTTTTTTACAGTAATAAAAGTTATTACTTAGTTATCATAACAGAAGCTCTAAATATTAAAAATGTAATTGAAACTTACCTGCTTGAACTTGATCGGGGTGTTTTGTTAGTTTGATGCGTTTCCTCCTCTTGAGGTCGACACTGCTTTTAAGAAGAGGTTGCCAGGTTTTCACAACAAAACCCGCCCAATCGCGTTCTGAGGATAAAATAGGCATGTTTTGGCGGGGTTCCCCTGTTAAAATTCGCATTCCAGGGGCTAAATACCACGTTAATGGGGTCGTTTTTCAACCCGCGGACCGTGGACTTGGCAACACAGGAAGAGGATAGCTTTAGGATAGCGCATCAAGAACCGGGTTGACCGGGTACTCAGTACCACCGGTACTTAAAAAAACCTGGTACCGTAACGTTTGAATTTTTTTAGTACCGACTTGGTACCGAAATACCGGGTCTTTTGACAACACTAGTTGTAGCAACAAATATGGCATCCTTGTCCCTTAAGTGTTGCCATAACATCTCACTGTGTACCACATGTAGCACTTGCTAATGTTAAAGTTTGAAAAATGGAAGATTTTTGATGCAGCTTTTAAAATGTCCTATCTTGGCCTGTTTAGTGTAGCACATTGTAAAACCCCATTTGTGTTTTCGTGTTGAGTTATGAGAAAAGAAAGAGAAGCTAAATTATTAATCATGGTTTATTGACTTCTTACAGAAGCAAGTCTGTTTTGGGCTCTTTGTTGTGGTAGTCTTTTCAAGTGAAGTCAGTGTCAACCCTTTCCCCTTTCTTTTTTACACAGTCTACAATGTGTTTAAATGCATTAAAGAAGAGTCGGTCCAGGGTCATGCTGTAGAAAATGTGGAAAAGATAATCTCAGTGGCTTAAGGATTCAGATTCAAGGGGTTTTGCTAACATTATATATATAAAAAGTATATATATATAAATATATATTTTGTTGATAAAAGCGTCTGCTAAATGACTAAATGTAAATGTAAATATTTTAGATTCCACTGTAAATGTTTTGTCTGAAACTTATGGCTACAGTTATTCACATATTTCACATGGCCAAGGTGAGAAAGGACCATGCAATCAAAATGACAATAGTGAAATCATCAGGTATGCTGTTCATTTAACCTTGTATTAAAGCATGGCACAATAAATGCTAACACAACAGCTTTTCTGGCATACAGTAGAGGTGCCTTGGCCATTATATGTCATGATTAACTAGGTCTAGGGCAAAGCTGTATGAATGATTTCTAAACATTCAGCGTTGATCTGTATTCAGTAAGGAAGATGGTGCAGAGTTGACTCTGAATATATGAGCACAGAGAGCAAACCACACACAAAGTAATATAAGAGCCCGATCAATATTTACTGTATAAAGTTTGAAAGTATTTGCACTTTGTAAAGTTTATAAAGAGCAAATCTTCCCAACAATAATGTAGTTATGATAAGACAATTTGGTTTGAACTAAAGTGCAACCCTCTACATTGCGAGTAAATCACTCGCAAATGCGACTAAATCTTACTCTGGGCGACTAAATAATGACTAACATTAGCCATTGGCTAATAAATTCTTAGATTTTACACGCCAGTATGTGTGTGAGAGGCGTTCAACACAAATGTTCACTCGATAAACACGCTGACTGAGCGCTTGAGAGTTTCACTCTCCGTCAAGCGATCTGTACTATTTGGATGCACTCAATGGATCATGTCATGTACTCAATGGATGCGCAGTATGTAGCACGCAGCGCACCTGTATTTGACGTACCGTAAACTAGTGTGAAGGCGCCCGCCTCGCCGTCTCTTTACTGATAGCGCTGTGTTTCTCACACATGCAAAGAGAGAGAGCGAGAGTCTTGCATACCACGCTGAATCGACGCGCTACATGTAAACCATATTCTTTGTTGTATTTTCCTGTCAAAATAACAGAGTTCATTTAGAATTATTCAGCTTTTAAGAACAAGCAGAAGATATGCCGGTTTCTCGGCGTGTTTACCTACTTTGCTCACTTTTGGGTACAAATTTGTCCCCAAAATATGGTTAAACCTGACAAAATCGGCAAAAACCTAAATCTGTGGATGTCCTCATTTGTAAAACTGTTAAAATAAAGTAAACAAA